TTTATTTTCAAAATTAGACACTTATTTACACCCTATAAACAATAAAGAACACAACAGAAAACTCAAAAGGTAAAACAGAATACATTTAAAATTTGCCTATTAACCCACAGAGTACTCTAATTCGTACAATAAACATTTAAAATAATATAATTTACTCATATAATTACTCTTTAAACAATCTTCTCTTAAAATCATTAAAATCATTAATGCATTCCCTTAGGATTTCCCATAGGAACCCACAGAGATCTCAAATCATATATTTATTTACATATAAAAAGAGAAAATAGAAGAAACAAATATAATTGGGAGAAACTCCTCATAAAGAAGCATACAACAAATACAGGATTAATCTCACTACCCAGCATACAATCCCACACCTAGAGCGAGGTTTCTCACTCCCCCTTACCTCGATAAGTAGGAGCCGAATCTTGTTGGTCGCCCCCTCTAAGTTCCCCTTCGTCTTCAGAGAGAAAGGAGGAAGAAGATTAGAAAATGAAAAAAAAAAATGAGTTTTAGATAGTGAAAAACGCTATATTTAAACGGCCTGTTCCGAATCCGGAACGGCCCGTTCTGGATAAATAAAACATGTACAAAAAACCCTCCCAGAACGGCCCGTTCCAAATCCAGAACGGCCCGTTCCATAATCAGAACGGCCCGTTCCATAATCAGAACGGCCCGTTCTGGGGTCAATACTTGTTCTCTAAAACCTCATCCAGAACGTCCCGTTCCCAAATTGGAACGGCCCGTTCTGGGTTGAAATTTTTCCTATGTTTGCTCGAATTGGAACGGCCCGTTCCGGGACCATGAAAATCCAAGATTTTTAAATAATAAATAAATAAATATATATATATATATATATCAAATTAAAATAAAATATCAATACAATTTAAAACATGATTTTCTTTAAATAATAATTATAACAAAATATCATAATTAATAATATTATACAAAATAATTTTTATAAATGATTATTAATAAAAACCTTTAAAAATTCAATCAAACCCATTTAATTAATCAAAATAATTATAAGGAAATAATCTTCATAAATACAAAAATAAATAATTATTATTTATAGTATTAGTAGAAAAAATTGGGATATTACAAAAAGGTTATATAGTGAAAGGATAAATAATTTATATTATAAAATAAATTTATTTTTTATTATTAATAATATCTTTTAAAAAATATTATAATACGATTTAGAAATATAAATGAAAATAACATATCAAATATATGAGATTAAGAGAATTTTATAAGAACATTGAAGTTAAAAAAAAAAAAAAAGATCTTACCAACATTCTCGTTAAAAAAAAATAGTCTCTTAAATTAATACACTTAAATTAATACACTCTCATTTAAGATAATTATGTTAATTTATATATATAGATCATATAGAATAAGATAATTACACTTCCTTTTTATAATGAGATCGATAGTTCAAAAGAATAAGCACTTATTTTTCTTTTGTTAAATTACTATTTAGGTATCTTTTTATTTAATTGGTTAAATTTGATTAAAAACTTATTGTACATATGACACAAAAATAAATTGTATGTGCCATCACATTTAAAAAGAAATAATAATGTTAATCAGGTTTGAATCACGAATGAAAAAAAAATGCAATTGAAAAAAAGATTTTATCAAAGGTAATCAGACAAATTCTCTGCCAAAGTTTAATCATCAAGAAAATTAATTAATATTTCATAAGAAAAAAAAAAACATGACTAAAAAAATAACAATGTTATTTTAAATTGAATGAAAATGATAATATTGTATTGTTTTAAAATTTTAAAAATTAGATTGAATCTTTTAATAATAATACTAATAGATAACAGTAAATTTAACTCTCTTTTTTTCTATTTTAATCCAAACAAGCCACCAACTTAAGTTTTGCGTCAAAGCAAGAAATGGATTTTTCTTTGGTCAAGAAAGCAAATAACAGAAAAGATCTACGTAGCACCAAAATTTCGTTGGTGAATGGGACAAAACAAACTAAAAGGATTTATATGATTATTTTGTTAAGAGGTTAACATAATCACGCTTAAAAAATGTTAATGAATTTTGGTTTGAACTATTCAAATGATAGTGGTCCACGAAGTTTTCGTTAAGATAAGTTGCTTTTGCTTCAATCAATAGTATATTGACTAAAGCACAAAAAACAAAGTATAAAAAATAAAAATAAAAATACACCCACCAAAAATTAATAGTATTGAATAAAGGACATCCACATGCAGAAAACTTAAAACTGCACACTGCACACAGTGATAGATGCATCGAATTCTATAATGTTGCCAACTCAAGTGCATACATACTTCAATGCAGATAAAGAATTCAGTAGTTTTTAACTTAATTTTACTTAATATTATATTTAACTTAAAATGATTATTCAAGCAATGGATATATTCTTTCTTACGTTGGGAGAGTTTTTGAAAATCAATAAGCAATGTTTTGCAAAACACTCCCATGAATCTTTTTCAGACCTTCTTTTGAGTTTGAACTTCCAAGTCACCGTAATATATAATAAAATGAATGATACTTGACTGTCACAATTCTTTTGTTTTGATCGGATTAACTTAAATAACATTATTATTAACTCTTGGACAAACAAATGTTTCTGCCGCTTTGATTATAATTCACTCTTAAATCTTGACAAATTCTAACTAATTTTTATTAAACATTTTTTATTTATTTTGATAGGCAACATTATTTCAACATCAGCTTCTAAATAAAGGATAAATATAATTATTTTTAAGTATATGGAAGAGTTATAACACTCTATACACATATATTCAACTGTCAAATTAAAAAAAAATTATTTAATATTTTATTTTAAAAAAATTATAAATTTAATCTATATATTAAAAAATTTTAATTTAATAGATAAATATTAAAATTTGATCTAAAATATGAGTTATTAAATAAAATAAATTTAGCAAGACTTACATAAATAAGTGAATCAATATATATATATATATAAGACAATTAATAAAACTAATAGTTTATTATGATCAACAAAAAAGTTAAGTAATACTAGTATTTACATCAAAATTAATAAATTAAATTCAAATTTTAATTAAAGATATTTTTAATGAATTAATCTCTCACTTTGCAACCATGATATCATTGTCATTATTTTCATAGTTATTGTCATTATATTAGCAATAGCAATGATAATAGCCACAATAAGCGAAATAGTTATGACAATAGGAAAATTATCATTATCATTATTATTATCATTATTATTACCATCAACATCATCATTACATATTTGAAAAAGTGTGAAACTACAATACTATAGAAGTGCAATAAATAAATAATAAATATGATTGTATAAACAACCTATTTTCTTCACACTTAGTTCATGTTTAGTTTGAAGTTGACAAACTCTAAATTTATATTAAACATAAAAGACAAAATTTTTACTTCTCAATTTGATGCATTTTGATGCATTGGAATGTGGGAATTTATGTTTACATTAATGTAAAACAGATTTTCAAACACATCCTTATTTTCTTAGCTTTTATTAACTCATGAAGAAACAAATGCTCTTATCACTTCTCTATTTTTTTTCTTCATATAATTATATTATTGTTGGTATAAAGTATTTATGATTTTTTTTTATTTACAATACTTGAATATAAGATATTAGTTAAAGATATTTAACCACTAGAATCAGCCTAGTAGTTGAGTGGGGAGGGGTTGTGGTAGTTAGAAACATGGAGACCTAGGTTCAATTCTCATTGTGATCATCTTTGTAATCTTTTTTATCTTTAAAAAAAAAGTTAAAGATATTTAAATTCAGTTTTGCTGAAATCAACAAACAGGTTGGTAAATATTTTATCACTTTCATTTATGTAATAATCACTCTTAAATCTTTACAAATTATGATCGAATTATGTGAAACTGATTTATTGCGTTGCATTATTCTAATAGAAAATAACTTCTAAAGAAAGATTAAATATAAAGGACAAATTATACTTTATTCTCAAAAGCATTTTCTTATACATTTTGCCTCACTTAACCTCGTACATTTTCTTGTACTATATCGGTGGTTTCTCGTTTAACTTTGGAGACAGCTTTTGACATCTTACGAAAAGGTTTTAACCATGGTTATATAACCTTTAAAGATGTTTAATTAATAATTATATATACAAAAGTATAAAGAGTATAAGTGACGCATAAAAGGTACAAAAGATACTTTAAAAAGTATGAAATTACATAAAGAGTAATTTACACTAAAATTTGTACCAAAAAAATATATTATCAGCATTAATCATAAAGCAACTGAAAAGTTGGGTGTATGTTGGAGAGAACAGCAGTAAAACTATAAAAGCTCATAAAATAAATGACAAAATAAAACTGCACAACAATTCCTTCCTATATGGCTACATCTATGATTTGATATTATAATTGTTTCAACTTTAAATGTAAACCCATGAAATACAGTAATTAAGAGTTAAGACAACATTTAGAAGAAGAAAAATAATAAAATATATTTTTTCATAAATTAAAATTAGTTTATTCATAACTTAGAAAACATATTTAATGAAGCTAATTTCAAAAAGCCTTTACAAGTTAATTATGCACATATTAATTTTAACTTTTGAAGCAACTCATTTCTTCCCTTTTTTTGTATTTTTTCTTTATAAATATTCATTGAAAAATTTATTCAAATAGGCTCATAGTCTTTCAGAGTGAAATCCAGTAATTACATGAAAATAGATGATTTTGATGAATTGATTTTGTGTTCTAGAAAATAACATCTTGTATTCATGAATTGCATTGCATGGTAAAATTATAGCAATTTGATGATTACAATATAGTCTTAAAATTCAAACGCAAAGAAGATCCATCTGTAATCAGTATCCAAAGAGTAGCTTTCAACAGATGTCTTAAAATGTTACAAGTGGTCCCAACTCATTCAAAGAAAATGAACAAAAATATGTTAAAATGGAAATTAATTTAATTGTTCGCTAATCAGTTTCATGAAACTTGAAACATGTTATATGAACAACTCAAATATATATTAATTAACCTCCATGATACACATTCAATGGTAATTCCCAACTGTACAATAAAGTCACTATATATATACTGAATTCCAAGACAAAATACAGAGACGTGAAATTAATGATAAAGAATGCTATAGGGTAAAACATTTAAGTCTAGTGGCATATAATGGAGGGAAAGAATGTACAAGAATCATCTCCTATTTTCTCTTGTGGAAAGGAAAAATGAGCAGAAAAAATTTTCATGTTTGTTAACAAAATGTCAAGAGATGTTGCATACTTTCTTCACATGCCATCTCTGGAAGGAAGATCATGGTATGTTTGAGTGAGTGTTAAGTTCCCTTCTCGCTCATTCGACTCAATAAGCATCATCACTACTTCCCGCATTGATGGCCTCTTAGTAGGAGACACACTTGTGCATAGTAAAGCAAGCTTCAAAACAGTGAGCATGTGATTCATGGTGGTTTGGTCTTCCAGATCGACACGACTATCGAGTATCCCTGGTGTCAATTTGTAGTTGTGGTCCCGGATATGGGTTCTCACCCATGTGACAAGATCACCTCCTTGCTCTAGGGGCTGAACTGGAGTCCTTCCCGTTAGCAACTCCAAGAGCACAACACCATAACTATAAATGTCACACTTTTCTGTCACCTTCATGGTATATGCATATTCTGCCATACAGGATAAAATGGTTCACCAAACAGTAATTGATAACTAATCAAGTTTAACCCCCTAAGGTATTGCATAAATTGAATAGGAAAAAATAAAATTGGCATAAGGTTCTTTTAAATAACATTTAATATTTGTTGTCATCTTTAGAAATGAGGATTATGAAAAATGAAATTTTCACATTAAGGGGATATAAAATTTACTCTGAAAATGTGCAGAAATGAATAATATATATATCAACATCACATTGTCATGTGTAAGTGTGATTTATTCAAATAATCTCAGATTCAAACCTTGTTGTATGGTTGTACCTATGTGCCTAATTCCTTATTTAAGGGTCATGTAAACGACAAAATAATTGGCAAAGTCATTACCAGAAACATATCTGAATGATTGTAACAATATCAGATAGTCTCTTTAATCATCAAAATCTTTGTGATCAGAAAAACCAATTTGAAAACTTCTTGGTGTATAAAACCCATTTTCTTCAATTAGAAAAAACAATGTTTATGAGCATGAAGTGAAACTGCAAATCATAAGCTATAAGGAGCAACTGACAATAATATGATCTACCTTGATAAACTAGACTATCTATTATGTAAAAACTAGTTATAAAGTGAAGAAGAAAGTTTATGGTACTTTACTAACTAGAACAGAATAGGAGCTTACCAGGAGCAATATAGCCATAAGATCCAGCAACAGCAGACATTGATTTTGACTGTGGCATGTCAATCACTTTGGCCAAACCAAAATCACCAACATGGGCCTCAAAATTTTCATCCAGCAGAATGTTGTTAGATTTTATATCACGGTGAATAATCTTGGGTTTGCAGTCATGATGCAAGTAGGCAAGACCCTCAGCAGCTCCAAGAGCAATCATGAACCGAGTTGGCCACTCCAAACTACTTGCAGAACCATGCAATAGTTCACCTAAGCTTCCTCTTTCCATGTACTCATAGAGCAGAAGGTTGGAACCCTGGTGATAGCAAAAGCCATACAATTTTACTATATTCCGATGCCTTATCCTTCCCAAAGTCGATATTTCAGCCCTGAAACTAGTCTCAATGTTGTTCCCTTCCCTGTTAGATGCTAACTTCTTCACAGCAATGATCTTACCAGATTTCATCACTGCCTTATAAACAGTTCCACATGCTCCCTTACCAATAACATAGCTTTCATCAAATCTTTTTGTAGCTTCAACTAGATCTTGGAATGTGAAGCCTTCCTTTGGAGGGAAATAGATATCTGAATCTGGGGAGGGAGGCTCAGTGCCTTCAAAGGAATCAATTGACTCGCGAGGACGTCTCATAAAATGCAAAATAACTAGGATGAAAATGAGTGAAACACCTCCAACAGAAGCTGCAATGATCATGACTATTTTAGCTCGAGGAGAATCAAAACTTTTCCCTGGAGAATCAGAGTGAGAAGCTGGATTGGTGTTGCAGTCACCGAGAGGTGCACCACAGAGGCCTTTGTTACCACCAATGAAGCTGCTTACATCCATACTTTGGAAAATTTTAGTGGAAGGAATAGGTCCAGAGAGGTTATTGTATGAGAAATTGCACCCCAACAAGCTTGAAAGTTCTTCAAATGTGCTGGGAATTTCACCATCTAAATTGTTGTTATTGAGAAAGAGATATTCAAGCATGTTGAGATTGCCAAGCTGAACTGGTATTCTTCCAGAAAGGTTATTGTAACTGAGATCCATTGCAATTTGCAAGCTTGAAAGAGAACCTAAGTGGGGAGGTATTTCGCCAAAAAAATAATTGCCATCCATCAACAACCAGTTCAAATGAGACAGGTTGCCTAATGCTGAAGGAATATATCCAGAAAGCTTATTCTCTGAGAGCTTGAGAATCTCCAAGTGCTGAAGTGTTCCAAGCTCATCAGGCAAGGAACCAGAGAAGTTATTCTGACTGAGATCAAGCCGCTGTAGCCTTTGACACGAAAAAATTTCACGAGGGATACTTCCAGTGAAAAGATTTGATGAAACATTAAATGTCACCAATTGAGAGAGATTTCCTATTTCCTTAGGCAACTCCAATGTGAAGTAATTGTTTGCAATATGAAGCCGTTGCAATTTGTGGCAGCTTCCAATATTCGCAGGAGATCGGAA